TTCACGTAGTTTACCTGCAGTAAACCTCAAACTCCTGAGCGCGCAAGGGATGATGAGTTTTCACCTATTGGACCATTAAATTAACTCAGAAAATTGCCTTTGCAGCAAGTATGTTTTTTTGTCGTGAGTACATTCTTGCAAAATCAATTTTCAGAGTTTATGAGTCTAAATAAGCTATAACCCATCATCCCTTGTACTTAGAGTTTAAGGTTTAAGTTTTTGGAAGGACAACCTTAATTGTATTATCTGTATATAAGACACATGTGCTGTGCTAAAGTAATTGCGATATTATTATTAATAGTTCAAATATACCTATAACATTGCACTAGAATAATTCAAAACCGATTATTCATTTGCTATCGCAATTCACTAAAACTAAATTTAAAGAGGTGTTAGAAACAATCACAGGAAGACATTTACCTTCAAATTTGTTAGACATTGTTCTTACTTACTTAAAAATGTTTCGTAATAGACACGTCATTTGAAAACCTAGGTTTAATTGGTTCAGATGACAATAGGTAAATTTTAGGGTTGACTTATCTGGGGCCTAGGAACTAGCAAGTTTTCTCTACTAAGGGACGTTAACACTGCAAGGTAGAACATTTCGTCGTTTAGTATCTGGGGAAGCAATCTAAGCCACGACATGTCGAGCGTATTCCTTATTCTATTAGTTTTATCTATCAGTTTAATTGTGGCAGAAGACGAATGCTACACGAATTCTGATTGTAAAAGCAACTTTAGGGAATTTCCTGTGGTTTGCTGCAAAGGAAATTCTCGGCCGAGCGAAAGAACATGTCGCCCTTACAATTGCATCGGTCAGTATTGCATTACAGATGGCGATTGTGGCGGGATAGGTGAATGTTGTAAAGATAACAGATGCTTGAACTACACTTCTTGTCAGAGCTGTAACTCAAACTCCTTCTGCGCTACATCCGAGTACTGTTGTAAGAGAGGAGGAACCATCAATGTCTGTCGGAGAAGTTGTATCGCTGAGAGATGTTGGAACGATGCGGACTGCGGTGGACCTGCAGAATATTGTTGTAAAGGGGTAAGGATATGCCGGAAAAGTTGTATCGGAGAACCATGCAAAGACGATAACCAATGTGGACATTCTGGTGTGCATTGTAGCTCTGATCGTAAATGTATAAAACCCGAGGTCGATACCTCGTCTACAACTTTGAAAACTCTGAATATTGTGATTGGAATTATGTTGCCAATGGTGTCTGTATTTCCTTATATCGCCGTATAAGACAGCGACAAATTCAATTTGCTCAGTGAAGCAACTCAAACAAGAGACGACACGAACATTGACCGAAGATTTTTACCCCAGCCACGACATATATCGCGACTAGCAGCACTATACGAGCACCATGCATCGTCAAGATATTGCACAACGTCATAGCAACGTAACTAATGAGAGTATAATAAGAAGATTCATTTTAGGAACATTTCTGAACTCTAAAAATGTTTCACCTGAACACTAAGAATGATGAACATATAATAAACGATTAAGATACCAAACTGCCTAACCTTGTTTTGAATTGTACAATAATGAATTACATTAACTGATTGCATAAGTTTTAGCATAGCAATTTTCCTCCATCAGTCGGCTGACTGTTTTACGGAATGAGAGATATATGTTTCCCAAGATTATTTTTAATAATTTTTACTTTTAGACATAAATACCAATAAAATTTGTATTTGTTTATATAGAGTTTGTAGTAATTATATTATTTTGTATATATTGCACAATTCAACCGATTTTTTTATTTCTTTTGCTTCCAATTAAACTTCTTTGCTTTTAGTAAACATCGATCACTTCCATTTCTTTCTATTTTATAATCTGAATGATTTGATTTTCTTATAAAACGGTTTGTTGTTTATGATGCTTTTGAAGAATGCTCGCATGCTGGGATGGCGCTGTTGGACGAGGCGTCTGTTGACTATAGCACATTTCCCGAAAGGTTTTGGCGAGAAATATGACATTTGTTTGTATTGACTATTCTTTAACGATGCGCGTGCATGTTCCGGAGTGTTTTACAACTGTTTCAAATGTGTTTTTAGAGTTGATATGCCATATGGTTGAATGCATGTAAGTTGCGAAGGCATATTCAAATTAAAAACCTTCATTCTGGCTTTACCTCCTACGCATGATCACTGTGAAGCAGACGTAGCAGTGCACATGATAAAAGAACATCGTATGACATTTAATAAAACCCGTATTAACTCATCTAAATTTCGTGTCAATTCTTCCAAACATATTTATGTTCTGAAATTCCAAGACCAACACAACACAACATGCTGGGTGAGGGGGATTTGTTGCCGGAAAAATTGATATTTTGCTTTGATATGACCATTTTGGGGTTGATATGATCTAATGACGTAATGCTCATGGTTTGTAAACAATATTATTTCATGATTTGCTGTGTTGGTGTTGTGTACTCAGGTGAATGTTATGTTTGTGATGTTACTCTGAGTGTGTATCCACACCGGGCAAGCTTGAAAAATATGCCTGGCCACGGTGGGAATCGAACCTACGACCTTTGGAATACTAGCCCAATGCTCACTCAGAGTAACATCACAAACATCATATTCACCTGAGTACACAACACCAACACAGCAAATCATGATTATTAGATTACACTGATATCGAAGGAACTAGGCTCAGTTCTGAAATATCTCATACTCGAACCGACCTGATCGCGTAGCTCAGGTGGCAGAGCATTGGGCTAGTATTCCAAAGGTCGTAGGTTCAATTTCCACCGTGGCCAGGCATATTTTTCAAGCTTGTCCGGTGTGGATACACACTCAGAGTAACATCACAAACATAACATTATTTCAAACTGAACATTTCAATAAAATGCATTGCCGTGATAACCGACCATTTTTATGCCTACCCCCCCTCCCCACCCATGTTGCCTTTTCAAACAAATTATATTAGTAAACTTGTGGGAAAAGTTCATCAATCATAAAGTTCCTTGATTATACAACGCCAACGAGTTTATTCTGTTATTTCTTCAATTCTGCCTGTTGTTTCTTACAATTCGGCAATTCCAAGGGACATGCTGGCTGCGTTGAAAAGTGGACGGGGGCGTAATTGATACATTTGTTTAGATATGTGAATCTCTAGAAAACTTCAACTGTAATTATTTTGGCTACTCTTAACGTTGTTACGCAGTCTTTAGTCAGAATCTACCCAAGGAAATGCCGAGTGTATCCATGATTTTACTTTTATCTTGGAATGCAATATTTATAAAGAAAATCGGTTTGGCTGTGGCCAAAGACGAATGTAGCTCAAAAGCTGACTGCCATACGAAGTTGTCAGCAGATATAGTTTGTTGTAAAGGACACTCGCGCGATAGCGAAAGACCATGTACGCCGTACAATTGTGATGGTCATTTTTGTTTTACAGATGGTGATTGCGCTAGAAGTGAATGTTGTATAGACGCCAAATGTACCGATTCTTTCCGCTGCAGGCGATGTGATTCGAATGGTCACTGTGCTTCAGGTGAATATTGCTGTAAGCGAGGACATTACCCTAATGTATGTCGGAGAAGTTGTGTCGGTGAGGAGTGCGCCGAAAATACGCACTGTGGAGGTCCTCGTGAGCATTGTGACAACAATGGAAAATGTGAAAACCGCGAGAAATCATGTTCCTTGTCTGACGGGACAATCGCACGAATCATTTGTGGCGTATTATTACCATTAATTGCTATAGCTTTATGTACCTTGTTGTGGTACTGTTATCACACAAACACACCGGGATCACACAAACAGGGATCCAATGGTAACGACGACCACTCTCAGACAACAACAACCTATCCACCGTCCTTACGATCCAACACGACAACCACCGCAATCACCAGTAAACCAACGTTCACGACTAGAAGGACGAACGCCGCTACCACATCACCAACCTCCAGCATCGATCTCACGAACGCCGTCAAGGACAGAACGGACGGATGCATTCCGACAGAGAATGTGAATAACCCCGAGACATAATGGCCGACAGGAAGAAATCCATTTTTACAAGGAGATAACATAGGACAAACTCACACACACCCCTCATCCCTTCAAGCACTTCGTCTCGTACAAAGATCATCGCCATCTATCCAAAGCTACACATCAGCATCTCCTCCGTCAGAGGCGGACTCAGATTTTGCGGCAGATGTTACGGAAAGCTACATTAATCACCTAAACATTATTCCAGAGGCCTAGGCCCACTGGACCTCTATCATCCACCCTAACAAGTACTACCAACGTCACCACAAAACCACCGTCAAAACCACCGTCTCTTCTCGAAGACAGTAACTCTGACGGATATAATATTCCCGAACTTAACCGCGACATGTTCCGTGTTATCTACATAAAAAATATGTTCTATGTAGGTAGGTTAAGTATAGCGTTTTATTATATAGTAGAGAGATACTGAAAAATACACAGTGAGATATTTTCATATCTTCACTAGTGAAGATATCGATCAGGTGACTTTTTCCAATTTGCTCGTGTTAAAAACAATATTTTATTCACTCGCTGCGCTCGTTCGTAAAATATTGTTTTCACCACTCGAAGATAAAAGTCATATCTTCGCGCCGCCGTGTAATATCCTCTATTAAAATGGCAATTCATATTTGTTGGGTACGGCTCCCTTTCCACCTTACGCGATTGTATTTATAACACTGTCAGCTATCATCGTCCTTATACTTGGTTACTTGTTATACGATCGTTGTAAAACGAAATCCCGGCGTGAGACACAAAATGATGCAGAATGGGATATCGAAAACATAGCCATAGTGGCAAACAACACAAAGCAAACCCGCTCCCCACCACCAGTCCCGCTGACACAATCCCTAGGACGAACACCATGGCGAGCACCACCCCCTACCCCCTCCTATGATTGCTATGCTACCAAAGGCCAAAATATCTCACAGACAGGACTGCGAGCACCACCCCATCCCCCTCCTATGATGGTCATGCTACAAATGATCAAAAATCGCACAGACTGGATCGTGAGCACCACCCCCTCCCTCCTCGTCACAGACTCATCCATACGCGTATGCGGATTGCCGTTTTATTAATATGCCACCTGGTGTATAGTAACATTAATGAATATATTAATGTTATATAATAATAATAATAATATGAATAATATAATAATATAATAATATAATAATAGATTAATAATATCTTAATCTGTTAGTATATAAAACTTAATATCTGCATGCATGGTTGTTAAGTCGCGGTGTGTAAACGTACCCTAAGATTGAAATCTTAGTATTATTTATCTTATATATTAAGTCCTGTTCCTTTCTCCTGCCACAACTAGTGCTTTGTAAGCTTATTATATTGTCAGCCTGTTGTTATACAAACTTATATTATTATTATTATTATTATTATTATTATTATTATTATTATTATTTGAAAGCCCCTCGATTATTACGGGTGATGAATATCGTCCTGATTTACTTGTCTCCACTTCAGACAAACACCTCTACGTTGTTGAACTTACTGTAGGCTTTGAATCAAACCTCACAAACAATGTTAACCGCAAGAAAGCTAAATATAAGAACCTAATTAGAGAACTAGATCAAAACTTTACATCTGTTAAATTTATAAATCTTTCAGTCAGTTCGCTAGGGGTGCTTGACAAAGAATGCCATACATTCGTAAAAATGCTAAATGAGTTAGGACTGGATAATCAACACCAACAATATTGTATCAGAAAAATGATATCTATTGCCATCCGATCAACGTACTATATATTTTGCTGTAGAAATAAAGAATGGACAAATCCCGAACTAATGAACATTTAAAGTAACTATTTCTATAAATAATTAACAATTTTTGTATATAAAACTATAACCATGTATAAGTGATTCAAGTAGTCAATTGTAGGTTACCTCAAGAAGTGAGATTTACAATTGCATATATCT